CTCTGGGGCATTATGTCTCAGTCCATCTGATGCCGCCAGGTTGAACCTCAGTCTGTTTAGGAGCTCAGTGATGCCCCGGTCCAGATCTGGGAGGAGATACCCCAGGACACGATCCGTCGTCTTATTAGGAGCGTGCCCCGACGTTGTCAGGCATCCATACAAACACGTGGGGGGCCATACAAACTACTGAGTACCATTTTGAGTTGCTGCAATTAAATTTCAGCACAATTTACTAGCCTGCTGCATCATATGTTCACTTTGATTTTTGGTTGATCATTTTTCATTCCATCAAACAAAGTGGCATCCTTTTGTTCCTAACAGATTACCAAGTCCAGTATACAGTAGATATCCAGCATATTTTTCCCCATTGAGATCTGATGTGTTTTCAAAGTGTTCCTTTAAGTTCTTTGAGCAGTTTTTTTGTGGGGGTGGGGTGTTAAGCAATGTGTACATGTAAAATGTGCATTTTAACATGTGTGCAAAGAATGCAAAAGGTAGCGAAAGGGTTAAGTCATGGGCCTCACTTTCATCTTTCTTTACCTCCTTATAGAGTACTGCAATCTTCTGCATTCTGCTACAGTTACTTATAAGGAGGGTCAGCTCTCTTTGCATACATGGCCACTTTTTGGCTATAGCCGCAGCCAAGAGGTGATATTGGAAGGAAGCAGAGGGAGTGACTGGCTGCGCTGCTCCGTTGAAAACAGGGTTTTGATTCCCTGCAAAAAATAAAATCACAGAATGCCTCTGTCTATGCACATTATTTTCCAAGCATCTTCCTTTAATTTTCAAAGAAAAAGTAGCAAGTCTGCTTTAATTACTGGTGTTCTTACAATTAATGTGAAACATAAACCATTAGTCAATTTAAAAAGGACAATCAGTTGGTTCTCGGCATGGTTTTCAAGTGTTCTTGTCTTACAAATTAGCATTTTCAATAAAGCCTGTTGAGAAAATTCTAATTACACCTGCAGTTCTCTTTGTACGCTAGTAAGCTCAACTACAACAACTTCCAGGGTGGCTCTCCCTAGAAAGCAGTCTTGTTTTGTTCTTCCAGCATGTCAAACATGTTCCTTCTCCCAGGCACAGTGTGTGGAATGGTGTGTCCGACAGCCCACAGGATCAGCTGTGGGATTCTCACAGCTGCAAGCATTCTTTTGGGAACCCAGCACTCTTCTTTATCCCTGTCATTTAATGTAATTACAGAAGTCTCTCAAGCGTCACTAATGTCATTTGCACATTTTTACAGCTGAAGTGAAAAGAATAGCTCAGATGTATACAGCAGCCTACGCACTTTTACCAAAGTGAAAGATAAAAACATAAAGACAGAAATACAGAAAGAGGTATAATCATGCAAATTCAAGAGCAGATAGATCAGTCTTATTCTAGAAGCCAGGAAGTTTAGAGTTACAGAATGTGCACTTCCACTGACAGGCTCCCTTAAAATGTATTAGGTGCACTGGCTACTGGGATTCTGACATACACACTAAGTATGGTACAGCAATATTGTGTGTTGTGGTGACAAAAAAATAGGATTTTTGTACTCACCGTAAAATCCTTTTCTCTCCGTTCATTGAAGGACACAGGGCAACAGATCGTAGATCCTGAATGGTAGGGTATATCGCCACCTGCAGGAGTAGGACGCTAGGCACATAACAAAAAGACAAGACAGCCTAGGGGCGGCCCCTGCTGGTGGCCCAACCCCTCACTTGCTGACAAGTCTCCAGTAAGTAACAAGCAGTTAGGAGTACACACCCAACATAGAGGGCGGGACCTGTGTCCTTCAATGAACGGAGAGAAAAGGATTTTACGTTGAGTACAAAAATCCTATTTTCTCTCCCGTTCATTGAAGGACACAGGGCAACAGATCGTAGATCATGAACATCACAAAGAGCTGAAGGAGTCTTTTATTTTAAAAAATGCCCACAGACTGTGAGTCTCTTCTGTCGTAGATCCTCCATTTTTTTGTTTTTTGTACACATTCAGCTCAATAAAATTCCTTGCCAAGACAAATCACTCCTGTATGCATGCACCGGAGTTACTTCATCCATGGCCAGCCAATCAAGTGGCCGAAGGATCAGAACCTGAAAGAAGACATGGAAGCGCCCGCAAAGTTAGAGAGCATGGACACTACAGTACCGGAGGGGATCACTTTGCCAGTTAATACTGCCATAACATGCTGTGCGTACTAGCCATAGGTATTGCTACGGGGGGGGGGCATTTGCACCCCGTAGGTTATTTCTTGCCCCCCGTGTGCACCCCCGAGTCCCCTTTAAGTACAATAAAAGGGAAAGAGGGGTGGGATCCTGTTGTGGGCATAGTATTACAGGGGGAGACAGGGGTGGTACAGTCTGAGAGGTACTTTGATGAGATGGGAGTTGTGACAAGATTATGGGTTTGTGATAGGAACTGCGGTGAGATGGGGGCTGTGAGCAGAGTTGGTAGGTGGTGTGATGGTGGTAATGGTGCTGTGTTGGGAGGTGTTGTGGTGGCAACAGCAGCACCAGTTGTTGCTGAGAGAGTGGCGAAGGCAGGGGAAGGGATGTTTACAGTCATGGTAGTTAAATGGGGTGGGGGGGAGTTCTGGGATGTACAGCGGTGGTTATGGACAATACTGTGAGAAGGGTGCCGTGTGTGAAAGGTAAAATAATTTATGGCCCATGCACTCTTTCAACAAGTCCACCATCAATATGGTGGCAAGATCGCACGGTAGTGGCAGCACATAACTAACTACAGTGCATTCACAAGATCTCAACCATATTGATTTTGGTTCCAATACTGTGCTCACCATTGCTACGAAACTTAGATGTCATCACAAAGAAGTCCAGAGGTTGAACATATTATTTCAAAAACTGTGTTTCAAAGTAAGAACTTTGACTTCAGCTACCACAAAATTATTTAGATGTAAAAAAAGTAATGCTTATTCTCTAATAATACCTTGCCCATTATATCTCAATTTCAACCTGAAACTAAGGAGGAAACAGAAATTCCATGTTACACAGACAAATTTAGCTGGCCATACACTTATACAGATCTACAGATTTTCTATGGTTAGATGGAAAAAGTGCAACACATTCCTCCATCTACTCTAATCTGTGTGGATGGAGGACTCTCCCAATAGGCCAAGCTTCAGTATCTTACTAGTCAGCCCCACTAGCAATACCTCATTTTGTGGTAGAATATAAAACTTTGGGTCACATCGGGTAAATATATACCAAACATGTCAAGCCTGAAAATTGTGTGCGTCCGTGAAACTGCAAAAAACTACAATACCCAAAATTTCCCATAGGCGGTGCTTTAAAAGGTTTTACTGCTCATCAGTTTAGTAGAGCTGCAGCTAACGATTATTTTCAAAATCGATTAGTTGGCCGATTATTAAGTTCGATTAATCGATTATTGAAAAAGTTGACAACTTTTTCAATAATCGATTATAATTGATTATGTCGATTAGTTGTTGCAGCCCTACAGTTTAGTGTTAACAGTGATTGATGGGCCTAGAATTGTTGCTCTCATTGCGATTTTCACGGCAATAGGCGACATGTGTGGTGCAATTTTCGTTTTTGTGAGTAGGCGCACCGGAAGTGTGTTTGCGCTTGTATGTGTGTGTACGTGGGGGCGGAGGGACTTTACGAATGTTTTTTTATATGTTATTTTAATTTTTTGATTAAATTTTTTTTTACATTCAATTTTATTGCTATCACAGTGCTTACAAGCCCCTATGTAGTAGCAAATATGATGTGACTGGTCCTCTTTATGGAGACATCAGGGGACTTTCAGAATCCTAATGTCACCTAGAACCCCAAAGAAGCTTATGAATAGTGATGGGCCGAGCGTTCGATTCGAACATGAGTTCGAATCGAACATCGGCAGTTCGAGCGCTCGTCAAACGCCGAACTTTATGGGATGTTCGCGGTTTGTTCGACCGCGGACATTCCATAGTTTAAAATGCCCACTGAAGCTCTGATTTGTTAAAGTCTTGCACCTGACCACAGGTCAGGTGCAAGACTTTGCCCAATCAGGGTTCAGCGGAGGAGGGGCCTGAGCGGCCCATCCCTACTTATGAAGCAGCAATCTGCTTCATAACAGTCCATCACAATGTAAAGTAAATGTTAAACAGCGTAACTATAAGAAAAAGCAGCACTCCTATGTCAATTGGAGGTCGGTGTGTAATCTTTAATTCATCAAATCGGCATACAGAATATGTCTCAAAGAAAATCACTCACACGTTTCATGCATATTTGCACTTAATTATAAGGCTCTATGATTAAGCACATGTATACGTAAAACGTGTCAGTGATTTTGTCTGAGACATATGCTGTATGCTGACTGATGAATTAAAGATTACAAATAGATCTTCGATTGACACAGGAGTGCCACGTTTTCTTATAGTTACAGTGTATTTCATGGCTGGTGGTGAGCTGGTGTGTAAACCCTGTTAGCGGATCCAAGTGAAGCCCCCATTACACGTACTTGAAGGGCCCATTCACACCAAAACTGGACAGAAGTCATGAGGCAACGTTGTGTTCTGTTTCGTTGCATTTCCCATTCTGTTTTTGACACATTTCGTTACATTCTGCTTGAAAAAAACGAGACTATGCTCTACTTATTTTTTCAGCACACTGCAGCGTAACGCAACACAACGCAGCATTGTGAACTGGTCCCATTCACACCCATAAATGTTTTGGGTTACCTTCCATTGGCATCTCTTGACATCCCTTGAAAATCAGATGCTAATGGATTCAGTGTGAATGGGGCTTCCATGTTAAACAGATAAGCCCCTTTAAAATGGCTTTTGGAGCAGGCGGGACATTAGCACACATTATGACACTGAAGTCTCCAAGAAAAGTTCTGAGATTTAATGCATGTGCACCCAGCCAAAAATAAAACATAAAATAGCAATTTATGAGATGAGATAAAACATGATAGGATTACTGATGGTAGAATGGTAAGTTTAAATGTCTTTAGAATAAAAACAAGGATAATGACATATTTCCATTAGACTGTACCTTTCTGAGAGCGCAATGCATGTTTCTGCAAAAAGTCCAGCATCTGGGCCAGTGCTTTCTTGTTGCAGTGAGTGGAAAGCTCCTCATCACATTCATAACAACTGAAAAGACAGGATATATGTCTTGGTGATACTTACATGCTTTTAAACGTAAAACTACATATTGGGGTAAAAAAAACACTAAAGCAAAATCCCTTAAAAAGGACCTTGCTTTAAAACAAGGGCTTTGGGCTGTTAATAAATATAAGAAAACAACATTATTCTTCTTCCAGCAATGTGGGAGCAGGTAATAGGAAGCCTTGGGTTTGATGCCCTTGTTATGTCCATCCTTTCACTAATAATAGCACAGCTTACAAAGCACAAAATGCTCCAACTGTATTATAGGAGCACTGCATTTTCTTTCTGTAAGTCCTAATTCACACTGAGCGTTTTGTAACGCTCCAAAAATCTGCCCCCCACTCCGAAAAAAATCCCATTTATTTCTATGGCCCTGTTCACATCTGAGCGTTTTATCGCAATAAGCAAAACGCCTGTCGCTGGGAAAACTACACAAGCTTTTTATAGCATATTACAGCTTGTTTTGGCCCCATAGACTCAAATCGAAATCGATTGAAAACGCCCGTTTACTGTGTTTTTGCACGTTTTTATGCACTTTTTCTTATTAACATCAATGAGCTACAATCTACTCACAAAAACGCGATTTTTGTCATATGCGCATAAAAAAAACTCATAAAAACGCTGTCGCCTAGGTGTAAAACCAGGCCTTCAAGAAAAACTATGAGGCGAGTGATTTTCACTCAACCTCATAGTTCGAGCCGACGTGTGACAATGAAACTGTCACAGGTCGGCTCAATAGATCGGGAAATGAGCGAACACATACTGGCACTCGCTCACTTCTTGATCCTGTCCCTGCAGAGAGCCGTGACGGTCACTCATAGCTCCCTGCAGTGATTCCCCCCTTCCCCGCTCTGATCCTCCAGCACTGACTGGCGGAACGGATGGGGGAGGGGGTGGGTACAGCTGGCTCTGCCTCTAGATAGATAGGCAGAGCCAGCTGTCTCTCACGCAGCTGGGTGGATCGACAGTAATGCCGGGACTCCTGGTTTGCATATATAATGAATACATTTTCAAGCTGGCCAACTGCTTCCAGGTGATCCTTCTCTAGCCTTTCCCTACTCTACTCAATACCAAATGCTTACTTGCTTACTGCATACTTTAGTGGACATATAAGATTCTGAATTCTCTTCTACATATATTGTAAGATAAAAAAAATCCAAGAATCCCTGTTTTTAGGCAAAGTATTGCTTGAAATATAGACGAGTGTACAGAAGTGGATTCCCCCCTCCCCGCTCCGATCCACCAGGGCTGACTGGCGGAACGGATGGAGGAGGGGGCGGGTACAGCTGGCTCTGCCTCTAGATAGGCAGAGCCAGCTGTCACTCACGCAGCTGGGCTGATCTCGACATCGATGTCGGGATCCGCTCCGGCTGCGGCGTCTCAGTATACCGCGAGCTGTAGCTCGCGCTATACTGAGCGGTGGGTCACGGGAGGACGCTAGTTGATGTCCTCCTGTGACCCTCAGGAGAACTATGGGGAAAAACACTTACCCCATAGTTCTCCTTTAAGGTTTGTTTGTTTTTTTTCATTCTTTCACATGTGCCTGCTACAAATACGCAGACTGTCTAGAAGATATGGACACAAATAAAAAACAATTAAGTCTTTTTAAACTAGATTCAAAATAACCAAATGTTGACAATTAAAAAAAAAAGTCTCCTTTTTTACCTCAGTTATGTTCACCTGATCCTGGAAACTTTGCACGTGTGTTTGTTAGCAAAGAGATAAACAAACATGTTCAGCAGTCGTTATACTACATACACCATGACTTTTTACCATGCATTCAATTTGCTCTGCATACCAGTTTTGGAAAAGCTCTAGTCTGAAAGCATCTGTATTTAGGAACAAAACGTACAGAGGTGGATTTGCTAGGCGCTACCCAACAGCTCATCAGTTATCCATAACCTGATGCACTAGTCAGTGACATCTGCAAGTGCAGCAGGCCAGTACACCAGTGAAACCCACTGTACACGTGCATAATGCCGGTTAGCGAGATGTTAGACTATAAGGACAGGTGCACACCTATGCGTTTGCAGTTGCGCACAATTTTTTGGGCGTGTTTTTTCCTTTTAAAAACGCGTGTTCTTCCTGCATAGAGATGTTTATGGGACCAAAACCACACAACATCCGCCTGAAAATAGCTCATGCATTTTTTGCGTAAAAGGCGTTTTCATACTCATGACACAACTGTGTGAACAGTCGCCATTGATTTGCATGTAAATGTGTGTTTTGCGTGTTTGCATGTGACTAGATCCACACGTAAAAACGCTCAGGTGTGAACCAAGCCTATGACCGCTTTAACGCTAAGGGGTCTATTTTGAAACAATTCACAGGGCCCTGAGAATATCTGTGAACATTAAGTTTGTGCTAATAATGGCAAAAACAAACATTCGTAATACATTTTCTTTTTAGGTCGAATGTATTGTGATACAATGCTGCATTATGGCCACTAAATGGAGCTGCAAGGCATAAGAAATAACTATTTATATCCTGTGCTGCTCAGCGCTAACTAGTGGCCGTAACACAGCATTACAACACAATAAACTCAACCTGAAAATAAAGTTTAAAGATATACGCAGGGTAAAGGGCCCTGCAAATTGTTTATAAATAGAACCCTTAAGCTTAAACTTTGCCATTTTGTTTTCTAAGTCTAGCAGTTGCCATGCTTAATGATGTACAAAAAAAGAATAGTAAACAACATTTGTATGGTGTATCCTTGGAAGTTGCAGTCATCGACTACGACTGGCTGCCACTTCCTCAAAGCAACAACTAATCTCTTCACATATGCAAAGGTTCTTTAGTTTTTTTAAATATAACAAGACACTTGCACAGTAATATAAGTGAAATTTAATCAGTACTTACCAAATGACCCATGTACTAAGGTTGACTGCAACGCAGTGTGGCACAGTGTGTGACGTTTGAAAATGTTTCATGGAGTGCTGGTATTCTGAGTTGGTGCTACAGCCCTAAATGCATAAAAAATCAACATATAGCATTAATATTCTAGCAGATTTAGAACATGTAAAGAACTGTTCCTTACAAAAAAGTACCTTTCTCCATAGTCATTGTTAAGATTTTGTTGTTACTTTGTACCCATGACCACTGGTTGGGTAGAATTAGACTTATGTGTGCTGTGCTGCTTCACATTGTGCCAGTCATCAAATAGAACATCTATTTATCTATATATAAAATACAGTAACAAAAACAGAAAGCAAACATGGAAAAAAATACTTTTAGGTAAATGTTACCAGAATACAAAATGTGTGCTCAATGGAACTACACTAAAGTACTTGTAGTTGATTGAATAGTGTTATCATGTCATTGCTGCATGTGATCACACAAATCTCACACCCAAGTGGAGCTATTGGGTATGCAAGTCTACAGAGCTCACAATCTGGAGGGATAGGAAGGTTATAATGTTCAGCCTTACAGACCTGAGGAGTTTTGCAAAGTCTAAATCCAAGTGGCATGATGAGACCATCATGAACTCTGCCTTACAGAGCCTCGACCACAGCGGGATGTTGAGGACATAATATGCAGCCTAACAGAGTCCATATCATAGTGGAAATGAGAGATGATAATATTTAGCCTTTCAAAGCCTAAACATTAGTGGGATAAAGAGGTCACCGTTTACAGGTATTCAGGCACATGCCTTACAAGCCTCCAAGTGACACTATACTCAGGAGTTAAATCTTAAAAATGCATTTAAGTACTTTAACTATTAACAGAAATGTAGCTTATTTCACATAATTCAACAGTAGATCCTCAAATCATCTCTTAACTGGTGCTGACACTTTCCTTCCTTCTGGAGGGTGGCTACTTTTATTCCCCATGGCTCCTGTAGCCATTGCTCCAAATTCACTCCCGTGATAGACTGCAATCTCACGTTTAGTTAGATAATTTGTAATGAAGTTGTAGTTTTAACTCGTTTCTACTTGACAACACACACAGGGACCATGGGGACCAAAAGTAACCACCCTCCAGAAGGACAGTGTCAGCATGAATTCAGAGATGATTTGAGGATTTACAGCCGAGTGATACAGAAATAAGATACATTATTGTTAATAGTTAGGGTACTTGAATGCATTTTTAAGATTAGGGATGCACCGATATATCGGCCGCCAAAACATTTAGGCCTAAAATAGCACTTTTGGCTAAATGCCGAAAGTTCCATTTTCCTGCCGATACATCGGCGCATCCATGCTTTCTCTCCTCCCTGCTCGGCGCTGCCCTGTGTCCCAGTGGGGAGAAGAGAAACTGTGACAGCCAGCCGACTGCTGCGGGAGGAGAGCGCTGTGAGCGGCCTCCTATCACAGTCCAGCAGAGCAGTGTGTGGGCGGAGACAGGCCGCGCTATCACAGGAGGCTGAGCTCTCCTCCCTGCACCACTCGATCAGCCTCCTGTGACAGTGTGTCAGAGAGGAGAGCAAGGTACAAACACTCAGCGATCGCTGAGTGTATTGTAGATAATTGAGGACGTGGTATGTGTACTATATCCTCAATTATGAATGAATGGGAAGTGATCTACATCACCTCCTGTTCATTCACGATTGTAGTTATAGTAAACACACAATGTTCTCATGTTATGAATGAACAGGAACACTCATAAAGGATTCCTGTTCATTGATAACAGGGGATACAGAAAAAGAGATAGAGGACTCTGTGTCCTAAATCTCTTTTTCTATTTTAAAAGGGAAATATCAGGGGTCTGCTTAGACCCCCAATATTTCCCCGAAGCCCCTAAAAGTAAAGTCAAAAATTAAAACATTTATATTTCAAAGTTTTTATTGGTTTTCCATAAGATATAGCATGTTTTAATACCAGTTTTTAACATATATCTCAAAAAAATAGAAAATTCAGTATTTCTCAAATCAACATTATTTCCCCGCATCCCCCAACCCTTCCATAGGCCATCAAAGCTATCACCAAGGGAGAGAGAGGGGAAAACCAGTTGTGTTATTAACATTCATCTTTGCCCCTGCCCTCGTTCACCTGCAGGGGCTCACTCACGCCTCTCGATATAGGTACAGCTGCTTTCGCTATATGAGAGCTTATGGAAAAACTTTTTACTGTACAGAAAAAGGAAAAAACAAACAAAGAAGATAAAAAATCATATTATATATAGAGATTAAAACATTAATTATGGTTTCCTTTGATTCCAAGCAGCAGAACAGATATGCTTAAGCTAAAGCATCGGGAATGATACTATGTGCATTTGAGATCTCTTGGTATTTCAACCGAGGCTCCCATACTGCTTCAAATTCTGCATAGCTATCCTGCAAAATGCTATATAGTTTCTCGTGGATCATGATCCAGTTCACTTTAGACAGCACCAGAGAGAATGGAACCTTTTCAGCTTTCCAGGACCGAGCTATTGATGTCTTAGCCGCCAGGAAAAAAAAAGATACAAGTTTGCTCTGCGTTCTAGAGATGTCCGGGACTGATTTGTTTAGTAATATATACTGTGGGTCTCTGGGGATATAGATCCCGAGAATCCTAGAAAGCAGGGCAAACAACTTGTTCCAGAAAGGTCGTAATCCTGGGCACTGCCACCAGACATGGAGCATAGTGCCTTGCTGTTTACAGCCCCTGAAGCATAACGAAATGACGCCTGGGCCCATATTCGCTAATTTTGCTGGCACAAAATACCATCGAGAAAAAACCTTGTAGTTGGCTTCTAAAAGAGAAACATTTAACAATCCCTTGGTTGATCTTTTAGAACACTGTTGCCATTCTTCTAGGGTGAGTGGCATCCCTATTTCTATCTCCCAAGCCACCATAAAAACATTTAATAAAAAACGAATAATAAAAATAAAAAAATTAAAAAAGGTTTATAAAAAATAAAAATAAAATATTTAAAAAAAATGTGTTTTTTTTTTAAACATTTTCGGTTTCGGCCTGACAATTTTTTTTATTTCGGTTTTGAAATTTCCATTTCGGTGCACCTCTATTTAAGATTTAACTTTAGTGTCACTTTCAGAACTGTTATCTCTCCAAGCCTGCTGTGATTGAAGATCCAATACGCAAACAATTCATGGTATATTCTCACTTACAATACCAAGACCACCATTGCCCTATTATAAAAATGGTAACCCAGCCAGGACTACCAAAATTGCAAAGATCACAATATCCACCTTTTACATGTTTGAAGTCCACCATTGTCCTATTATAAAAATGGTAACCCAGCCAGTACTACCAAAATTGCAACCATCACAATATCCACCTTTTACATGTTTGAAGTCCACCATTGCCCTATTATAAAAATTGTAACCCAGCCAGGACTACCAAAATTGCAACCATCACAATATCCACCTTTTACATGACCTGGACCATATCATTATTAATCAATTCTCATTTAAAGCATAAGCTCTTTGTAAAGCACCATGTAAAAGATTGCTGTCAATGTCCAACCATAACACCAATGAAGTGCCCCACAAGTATTACATTAAAACTCCACAGATACCATACTGCTTCTCTACCACACGGAACAAGAAAAGTGGTAGCACATGGCATTTTACATTCTCTACTTCCTGTCCCGTGTGGGTGGTGTTGTCTTGATAAACATAGATATATATATATATATTGTTATGCACAATTTAAAAACAATAAGTAGGTTAGTTGTTATTATCACCAAGTAAAAATTCACTAGCTAGCGAAATATCTATGTATACTTCACATCATCTGTATACATATACAGTATGACTACAGAGCATGGAAGACCTAGCCGTATTAAGTAGACAAATGAATCCACTAGTATGCATAGCCTTTAACTAACCCAGGGTCAACGACTGGTTGTGCCAAATGTGATATAAATAGACATGGTAATTATATGGGCAGATTTAAAAATGTAAACAACTTCAGTTGGTGTATGCAACTTCCAAATAGGATACAAAAAGAACACAAACACGTCTCTGGCAATAGTTGTATTATTGTATACTCCAAAAAGGTGTGCAAACCTGGGAGCTGAAAAAGAAAAAGAGGCCAGGAGTTCATCCTATTTGCTCTCTCCATAACAGTACTTACTTCTTGCCAACTTCAGCTTCCACACCATTTCCTGACAATTTAAGAGCCACTTTACTATAGTATTTATTTCCCAGTGCCTCAAAGTTATTGAGAATTAGTGCTCTACATTCAAATCTGCAACTTGCAAACATAAACTTTGTAGGATAAAAAAAAAGTCACAGACAGAACCAATCTACATTAACAAACCTATCAAAAAGAATAATTTTTTAAAGGTAAGACAAACAAATAATAACAAGGAATGCATGCTACCCAGTGGAATGGAGGACCTCAACGTGAAGATTTAAAAGTGGCTTTAGTCCTCTTTTGGGTCAAATGAGTACATTTACGAATGTCCTCCTGTGACCCAAACCTAGTATATAGCGGGCTACTGCCCACTATTTGCTGACATAGCAGCACTACACCACCGCAAAGAATCATCCCAACAATACTGCTTGATTGACCAGTGGTGGAACTACCGCCGGTGCAGCCGGTGCGGGCGCACCAGGGCCTCGGCCTGGGGGGGCCCAGCACAGTCCCAGCACCGGATCGGTATCCAGCGGCCAGCCCCCTATGAAGACAGAAGACCAGCCAGAAGAGGTAAGGGTAAATAATTCATTAAAATAATAATTATTAATTAAATAATTATTTGTAGCCTAATGTTGTATAAAGTACTGTTGCACAATGCACAGAATACTACAAATCTCAGCAGTACTTTATACAGAAATGCTATTGTTATATAAAGTATTGCTGGGGTGTGTAGTCCTCTATAGCCTGTGCCATTCTGCATTGCTGTAAATATTAGGGTTGCACCGATATAACGGATATCGGCCGGAAATGGCACTTTTGGCTAAATGCCGAAAGTGCAATTTTTCTGCTGATACATCGGCGCATCCCGGCTTTCTTTGCTCCTGCTGGGCGTTGCTCTGTGACCCAGCGGGGAGGAGAGAAAGTGACAGCCTGCCGAGCGCTGCGGGAGGAAAGCGCTGTGTTTGCGGGTTTTTTTTTTGGGGGGGGGGCAAAAGAAAATCTTGCACCAGGGCCCTTTGTTCCTTAGGTCCGCCACTGTGATTGACAGCTGGCTTCTGCTTACCCCCTCCCCTGACTGTCCCTCCAATGAGCACTGGAGGACCAGAGGAACAGAGAGCAGAGGGAGGAATCCTGAAGAGTGCATTTTACTCTCCCAATACTTTTCCATTAATATATAAATACTGTGAATAAAGATTCACATCTATAGTCTATTATTATACTATTGTAGGTGTGTGGATAACTTTGATATTCTTACCTGATGGCCACATTTAAGGCACAGCCATACTTCAGTTGGGGCTAAAGGCTCTCCATCCTTCATCCTCCTCTCTTTAACACAATCTAAACATAAGGACCACACATTTTGTGATACTGCTCTTTTGACCTGGTTTACATCCACTGCTTGGCTAACATGATGGCAAGTAAGACCTGTAAAATGAATAGTATAATTTTTACAATTCTTGCATTATTTACCTATGTAACTTATGCTTTTATAATGTATTATTTAGTTCAAATGAAAGCGTAATCCTGTATTTTATAGTAAAACAGTGGATTCTTTTGAAAATCCTGAGCTGCGAGAATGTGCCAGAGCCCCTGCCGTAACCCACATTTTCCAAGAACATGCTTTATTTCTGACCTAATAATCCTCACAGGACCTCCAGTGACAATAGGACCTCCAGTGCAACCAAAGGCCCCTGCTTCATTATTCAAAAATAGAGATTAGTAAGATGAGTTCAGCAAACCAGGATTTGACCCATGTATTGCAAATTTGTTAAGAGGGGTGCAAAAAGATTGTCCCGTTTTCAAATCCTGATTACCTTCCTCCAGCTCCCCTGTACTTTTCTTTCAAACAAATTTTAGATAATAATTTAATCCTGTTACTTAGATAAAACCTATTACTCCTAGCCTCCAACAAGGGAAGTATAAGCCCCAAATAAACACTAATTTTCCGATTTCCTTTAGATCGTTTGCCTTTGTACTCATATGATAGTTAAGTGTCAACATACAATAATATATTATATTGTACCAAACGATTATTATATATATTATGGATATATACTGTGTACCATTGGTGTTATATTGGGGGGAGCTCTAGTGCGACCCCCCTAGGCTTGCAAGAGGGCAGCACAATAGATTTGTTTTTGTAAATGTAATATCATTATTTGTAAAAATGGTATTAATAAGATATTCAATAGGATGGGAGGGATTTTAAGTCAATGGGGGGTGAGGGATGTCTGTCAGCATGGGTGGGGAGGGGAGACAGCTGGAGACGCATGACTGTCAGAAGGCGATGAGGCAGCTAGTGGGTGGCACGGCGGTCGGGGAGGGATGTCTACCAGTAAGGCAGCGAGGCGGAGATTATGTTAGGGCAGGGGCAACTGGCAAGGTTGAGGTTTAGGAAGACTGCCAGTTTGGGGTACAGACAAGGGAAAAAGGCCCCTTTCACATGGGCTGATCAGGAGAGGATTCCGGCTAAATAGATTTCTGATCCGTCTGTTTCTCCGGGCACGGCCAGAGCCGGGGGTAACTGGGTGTTTATACACGGCTGCTCATAGACTTGCATTGGGCATCCGATCGTGTGAAAGGAGCGTTAGGAGTCTGGAGAGCGATATCTGTCAGCAAGGGGGTGAGATGTCCTATGTTAGCATTTTGTCAAGGGTGGAAACCACCTCTCTCTCTGAGGTAGCCCTCACAAAGCTGACTGTGGCCTGCTCCCTGCTCATACTCCAGACCTAATCTAAGCAGTGTACCTCTGGAGAGAAGAGGAGTGACAATGCAGGCCACACATACACTGGCACAACTGTACCTCCTCTTCCTTCATTTTGTTGGGCTAAGATTCCCCTATAACATGCCACTTACAAGAAACACTGATCCACCTTTCAGATACCCCGGGCAGCAGCATAAAGAAGCAGTCAGGACTCTGTGGATATGCCAGACACAGGATGAGTAGAGCATTAATAAGATTACTAGGGAGCTGGAAGAGCAGCAGTAGGTAGACAGTGTATTGTGTGTGCGGGTACATTTAGACATTGGTGGGGAGTCAGACAGAATAGGATGCCAGAGTACTATGTTGACCCATCCTGCTATAGAGTGCTCTAAGTGAGCACTCTATAGCAGCTTAGAAAGTGCAGAAGCTGATCGTTTTAATGCCTGGGCTTACTGCCGGACCTCGGCTGCTAGTGATAGCTAGCAATGAAAAAATTATAACCTCTGGGAAAGTATGACATCTGAAAGAGCTGAAAAATCATGATGCACAGACACAGCAGTCTCCACTGATTTTAACACATTATGGAACAAATAAAGTAAGCACCAAGGAGCACTCATCAGAAGACACACTAAGACAGGGGCCTCAAAATAGCATGTAGCCCGCAGCCAACTGGCAAGTCAGGCACGTGGTCGTGGACTGTGTACCTGACTTGTGGGAACAGCCAAGCAGTCTGCACCTGTCAGATGCAGACCGCATAGCTGCTCCTGTCAGTGCAGGTGTTCTATTGAAACGGTCAAACCATTAAAATCTCCAATCACGTCACTTCCAGTCATTTGCCAGCAGGAGATTTTGACGAGATGCCGTTAGACTGTAGAACAGAAAGACTAGAGGAGCTCTGTACAGCCGCATTTTCACAATACTCAGCAGTTGGCAAACTCGATGAGTCTTCTGGTAGCTGGGATGTTGTGGACGTATGCGCACTGACAGCTGTTGTAGAACTTAACGAGTATTGTGAAAATGCTATGCACATATGCGAACCCCGGCTGTACAGAGCTCCTAGCTCCTGCACTCTTTCTGTTCACCGGTAGTGATGTGATTGGAGATTTCGACGAGTTGGCCATTTGAATAGAACACCGGTGTTCTATCAAAATGGCCAACACGTCAAGATCTCCAACTTGTTACGTCACGTCCAGTGCCTTGCCAGGAAGGGATTTCAACGAGATGGCCCTGGTGCACGTGTGCTAGCCGTGGCAGTGTCAGAATTCTCGTTGAGTTCTCCAATTCCCTTCAGTGCACCTGCGCAGCTTCACAATCCTTGTCAAGTTCTCCAAATCCCGCCAGTGCGCATACATAGTTACATTTTATTTTGAAGTATGAAATTGGCAAGTGGCACCCATGAGAGCAGAAAATGTGTCCAGCAGCCCCCAAGTAAATTGAGTTTGAAACCCTGCACTAAGAGCTGCCGCTCTTAGTGCATTACTCATTGTCTGAATAATAATAATAATCATACCAACAATGTCATCTGAGGAATCCTCATCTGGTGTTCGTTTTGTTCTTCTACTCCTCCTCGTCTTTTCAGGACCTGACCAGGGTGATGGCTCTTTTACCCTCATTTGCAACTTGAAAACAAAGAAGAACAATTTATTAGATAGTGAAGTACACTATTTGTTCAAGTGATTCTAAGATTTGTGGATTGGCTGTCCTGCTGACAAGACTGTAACTAAACAATACCCTCTTAATCCTGCAGACTAGAAAGCATCTCTGGGGAGGGGCAAGTGATTCTCAGCGGCAGCCATTACGGACTATTGCAGAAGCCAATGGCCTGCTCCAACATATTGTAGCAGCCATAGTACTTCGGAGTCAGTCTCATTCCTATATATAATACCATTGTATCATTCAACCTCCCTGCAAAATATTGATTAGTCCTTACCTGTTCTTTCATTAGAGTTCAACATATAGCTAAACAATTACCAACATATTGCCTTATTTAGAAATAGAAAAACAGCCTTGAGTATATATACAGTGAGGAAAATAATGATTTGATCCCCTGCAGATTTTGTAAGTTTGCCCACTTACAAATAAATGAAAGGTCTATAATTTGTATCCTATGTGTATTTTAAATGATAGAGACAGAATATCAACCAAAAATCCAGAAAAAAAAACCACATGATACAAATGTTATAGGAGGAATGGGGGGAGAATTACTTTGAAAGGACTACTTTTGCTTGAAAGGAAAACTTAATTCTACTATTCTTTAGTATCTATTCTCCATGTGGTCTACTAAAATGTCTTATAAACAAGTGCGCCAGTTATTGTGTTGCTCCCGTATTTCTCTAATCTACTCTCCCCTCTATATATATATGTGTTCCTATTCTTCGTAAGGTCTCTTAAATACCTTCCAAACTTAATACATTAACCATTCTTATATATACAGACCTTTCTAGATCTGTGTTGCTCTTTCACCTTCCCCCAATATTAGTCCCCATTTCCCTACCCTCCCTTCCTCCAGAAGACATTCTTCCCTCCTCTCTATTCTGCCATTCATACAGGTCAAAGTTCTAAGTTAATATGTTAAACATCTATCCAGAGATCGTACTTTACCATTGGCCATAAATTCATTACCCATCTGTGGGTTCATGTTTTCATCTTCTCTTTATCTTTGCCTTAGCTCTTTCATATGTTCCTCAGTCTGTCTATAACTTACCCGTTTTCCCCAGATCTTATTGAAACTATCCTGTCTATCTGTATCCCTTGCACTTAATTCCTTCATATATCTTATTTCTTCCATTGAGCTGATCCAGTTCTCTAAGGTTGGTATCATTGATTTCAATCCCCGCGATATACAAACTCTTGCTGCGGTCAGTGCAAATCTTAGGATATTGCTATTTCAAATAGACTCCCCGAACGACTGCAATTTAGGACAGCTCCAGCAAACATGCAAGTACGTTCCCTCCTCTAGGGTACATCTCCAGCATCTATCGGATATCTCTGTGTTTATATGTTTCATACCCTCTGGGCACGTGTACCATCTAGATACTATTTTATAATTTTTTTCTTGGTGAAATGTAGATATAACCGAGCTATGTGTCATATTAAATATTCTTCCCCACTCTTTATCCGATATTTCTCTCTGCATATCCTGTTCCCATCTTTTCATAAATTTAGTATGTCCCTTATCGTCCTCTTCCCTCAGTATGCCATATACCCCTGATAAGGCATGATAAATATTGATTAGTCCTTACCTGTTCTTTCATTAGAGTTCAACATATAGCTAAACAATTACCAACATATTGCCTTATTTAGAAATAGAAAAACAGCCTTGAGTATATATACAGTGAGGAAAATAATGATTTGATCCCCTGCAGATTTTGTAAGTTTGCCCACTTACAAATAAATGAAAGGTCTATAATTTGTATCCTATGTGTATTTTAAATGATAGAGACAGAATATCAACCAAAAATCCAGAAAAAAAAACCACATGATACAAATGTTATAAATTAAGTTGCAGTTCAGTGAGTAAAATAAGTATTTGATCCCCTACCAACCAACAATAATTCTGGCTCCCACAGACTGGTAATGTGGTACACAGATCCGTCCTGTCAATTTAAGGAGGTGCTCCTAACAACAACTTGTTATGTATATAAAATACACCTGTCCATTTTCATTCGTTTTGAAAAAAAATGTCTAGCCTGCCCGATAGACAAAATTCAGACAGTTATACAATAATTGCGGTCATGCACTTCCCATCAATTGGCCGATTAACGGACAAAACTGATCGAAGGAGTGGGCTGGAAAAAATTATAGCATGCAGAGTTTTAGTAGAAAGGCTTTTACAAAGCAGGACTTGGCCAAAATTCAAGCAGTGTGCGGCCCTGTCAGAACCCCTGCATTTTACAAAAGACTACTTTTCAATCGACTTTTGGTGATGGAACCAGGCTAAAAACTCTCATCCAAACAGTGACTGCAGCCACCCTTGGGTATTCTCACAACCCAGCAGAGACGATTCCTCCATCCACACTGTTAACGTGGATGGGAGAATCAAGCTTGTTCTCCGCAGGATGAACAAAACAAAAAAAACTATTATGTGTACCGGAAGTCTCTTTTGCCAGAAAAACTCTTTTGCCTGTCTGCTAGCAAATTTTTGTTAGCGGTCCATGTACAGACTTGGCCTGCTCCCAACACCTGTAACATGTCAAGAATGGAGCTGGGTGTTCAGACAATATAACTAGAGTGCATGTGCAGGTGTTAAATCATCACTGGCTTCCCAATGGGTGAAGTAAGAAGACACCAGACCCATAAGAAGAGCCAAAGAAGATGGCAATATCAGCGACGGAGCTCAGTTCTCACATCACTAGGGCTGAGCAGACCCAGAGGTAAGTACACCATAAAATGCATGTGTGCTGTGCACACTTACACATTATGTTGCATGCTGCTGACTAAGTTAGAGCAATGGAAGAAGAATTTTATGGATGTAAATGTTTTACAGACAACACATCAAATGTAATCACTTGACAGACCACTGCATGCAATTTTTATGCAGGATCTTTCTGCCTGCAAGATCCTGTGTAGAGAACGCTATTTTATAATGCCCATGTGTATGAGCTCTAGGGGTTATTCACATGTGTGCAGAGGGCTGTACAGCGTGCAAATCAATGACAGGATGAGGCTGTACACTGTTAAAATCAGATCCGAGCATGTACAGGTTCCGATGTACACCCCTGGATACATGTACAGTTCTTCACGCCCATGTGAGGGGGCCCTAAAGGTTGAAGTGCAACTACAGCCGAAACTTTTTTTAGTTTTGGATAGGGTAGAAAGGGATTAGATCACTTGTCAGGTTTTTATTGCTGCCTGTGTCCCCATTAGGGAGATTCACCTTATTTGTCCTGGTGAACGTTATCACTGAAAGTAAAAGAAAATCCCACATTTTGGGCTGTCATCAGAACAGGAATAGATGGGTGATCTTCCACTGGAGACACTAGTCCTGGTAATCCTGCTGACCACCTAGGATTGCCCTCACTTCCTGTTGTGGCTATTGCACAGAAAGTGAAGGGAAATCTCCTCAATGGGACACAGAGGGCAAAAGAAAAAAGCCGACAAGGGTTATGGCCCTTCCTTATGTTGAGTATACAGGGTTAAAATTTCGAACTACCTACATCGATTTCAGAACGTTTGTTTAACTTTTTAATCGTTGATGTGGTGAAAACGATGATTGAGTTTGACCGCAGTGGCGAAAAAATTTGAAGGAGAATGTTGGAATGTTTACAAAATTCTAACAGTGAGTGTGGTTTTTGTTCAGCAAACTCCATTCATTCCAAAATCAAATGTTAAATAAAAGCGTCAAAGTCAAACGAAATTTTGAACGGCAATAGCCAAGTCTCTGATGGTATTATCAAATGTTTTGACCGGATTGTTTGTATGAACGTTCATGATAGTCATTTTGGTGTCATCCACTCTGAAAAGTCAAGCACTCGGCCAAGGGCTAAGAGCCCGACAGCTACACGAGAGAGGAGGGGACCTGGCAGAAAACCTTAGCTGGATGAACGTCCCATCCTCTCTTTGCACGTAGTGACATCACGTGTGACATAATGACGTGTGCACTGGATGACACCACCACAAAATCAGCCACGGAAATGTCCCAGCTGCAGATGATTGGGTCGGAAGAGAGATGTGTCATTGATGAGTTTGCGCAAAGTAATTTTCCACCCGAGTCACTGACCTAAAAGAAGTATGCAGACTCTAGAACCTTGGTTCCCAACTGGTGGGTCGTGACCCCCTGTTCAGATATTCACCGCATGCCTTCCACTTTTCTAGGTAAGAGGCTCCTCAACCTCCCCCTAGCGCAGCACTGTCAGTTCTCACACCAAGCAGCCATTCAGAATTTGCTGCCCGGTGCCAAATGTCATCGTGAGGTGGGGTGGGCTGCAAGTATGGCCACGAGGGAGCTCCATCCATATGTGCATTGCTTACAGCTCTCTCGTGTGACCTGTAGAGGTGCCTGGACTGGAATGAGGTCACATTCTGGCTCTTGGCACCTCTACAAGGGAACGCAAGAGAGCTGTACCCGCAATGCACATATGGATGGAGCTCCGTCACAGCACAGGAGCCCACCTTGGACCCCAAGCTGAGGATCCGCTCCAGTTCTCATAAGTTAGGGAGACTGTTGGATCTTAAAAAAAGAACAAAAATTAAAAATGTTTTTGGTGCGTGTATATATGAGAATGAGTGTAAGAGATTGTGTCTGTGGTTGTGTGCGTCTGTCATTGTTTTTGAGGGCCCGTTCACACTAGGACAGTGCATTAATCACACAGTCCCGTGCGATTAATGCACCTTACCACGCAATCGCACCTACCACGCATTCTGGTGTGGGAGGTGTGTTGCTTTGCCATTCATGTGAATGGCACCCCTAACGCACCTCCCACCCACAGTTCGGCCGCCCCGGAACACACGGTACCGCATTCCCGTGCATTCCATTGCAGTGAGACTTGGGTCTTGACTTAATGACCGAGGACAAATGTGGGTCCTGAGGTTACACAGGTTGAGAACCACTGTCTTAGAAGGACTTTCTAGATTTGCACAAAGTAATGTGCAAATCTAGCCAGGCAACTGGAACCTTCAGAACTACAGCAATAACAGCCTCCCTTGTACATTGGGTAACACAGCCGGCTGCCAAGTGCATTGCTGTTAGTGACTAGTATCCAATAGAAAATAAAGAAAAGTATAGAATTAAATCACTGACCATGTGAGCGGAGTCTCCACTGTAAACTACAGTGCCAAATACAGGGTCCTAGCAGCAAGGAAGTGGAGCCAGGCTGCAGCAATAGCACGGTTACACTGGCTGTGATTTGGGGTGCTGCCTCGACCCCGGTATCTCAGTAGTGGTTATGGGACAAGGTGAATACATTATATATATATACACACACACACTACTCACCAAGCAGCAGCACAGCGGCTGTATCCTGTCACTCACCCCCCACCCACGTGTCCCTCTGCTACTGCAGCAACACACAACTACGGAAGCCTGCAAGTCCTAAACTCCTCACTCATTTCAGCTCACTGTCATTCCTATACACAACGCTAAAACAGGCATTGAGCCCACAGCTTAGTGTGACACAGTACATGGGGAGATGTGTGGGAACAGTACTCCAAGAACATCCTACTATGACAATGGTCCCAGTGGGGAGAAGAAACTGGTGTTGTGTAGTTAACAGTGGAGAAGTAATTTCCGGTGATGTCCCCCCTCCTCTACATAGAAGGAGGCGGTGGTGGTGTGTGTGTGTGCGCGCAGATTTCCGGCTGTGTGTGATAGAGGTGACACTGGTGACCGGTGTACAATGGCCGTGTGGCTGGGACGCTTGTGTGTATCGTTGAGGACAGTATGTGGCTCTGGAGGTGGAATGCCCAGGATCGGAGCGGGGGCACATCGTGGTGAGATGGAACTCTGTGTACACTAGGGGGGAATCGATACAAAGTGGCTGAGACATCGGCTGCCTTTGCCCACGCCAATCCATCAGCTTATAGCTTTCTTTTTTTCTTTAATTGTGAAAGCTGATTGGCTGTTTGTCTCAGACACTTTTTATGAAAGTCACTTTTGGAATCCTGTTGCTGGTGTAAAAGTGGAAGTAAAGGGGCCCTTCAAAAAAGGGGGGGGGGACCCCTGAAGCTTTTACCCTGCATTCACACCTGCAAATTCTGTGAACATGCGTCACGTTCGCTCATGCGAGTGTTCGTTTTGCCGCAAAACCCCATTTAGTTCAGTGGGGCCTGCATGCGTGACAAACGTTTGTGTGTGTGTTTTCATGCAAGCAAAACGCAGAGCAAAAATGCCTATCTTCCTGGATGCACTTGGGGAGCCATTAGAAATTATGTGCGTTTCCATGAACGTGCACATGAAAACGTACGCTTTGGCGCGCATTCACGGAACGTGCAGGCCTAGCTAGGACTCCTCCCCCCTTCCCTTCGTTAGCTGACGGAGCCACTTGGGGAAGGAGTCCGGTGACGTCGATGTCCGTGACGTCACCGGATCTCCGCCGTGACTCCCGGAAGCCGGCGGAGAGGTGAGTATTTTCATTAGCGATCAAAAAAATTTTAATCGATCAAAAAGATTGATTAATCGAAAAATTTATTGTTAATTTGCACAGCCCTAGAAAAAAAAATACTGGATCCATCAAAGGATACATCACAAGCAGAGCATGCTGTACCAGTGTGGTGCTATGCCTTCTGTGCTGAGTGAGGCATCCCCCAACCCACCATAGCTTCACCCCTGTCCCACCGAAGCTCCGCCCCCAGCTCGCTAACCTAGCTGTGTGGCAAGGAGCAAGGGAGGAGCCTCCCTGTCCCTCACTTGTTCATCGCTGGTGAGGAATTGAGATCACTGGTTTGTTTGTTTTTTGATTGGACAGCTTGGACCAATGGCGCTTTGCCATTGGTCCAAGTCATCCACAGAGCTCACACCTCTAACGCAGAGTAGAGGCTGCAAGAGCTTTTGCCTTACTAGGTTAAGTTACACAGGCAGTGGGGAAGCCTGCTGCTGTGTAACCTAACTACCCGTCAAAAGCCGGATGCAGCGCCGCCTGTAATTAACAGGCAGCGCTCCGTCCATGACAGGTTACACAGCATGGAGGCTTTCCCTGCTGTGTAACCTGTAACAAGCCGATCTGAATGGTGAAAAAGCTGTCAGCTTCAGATATGAAGCGGACATCTTTTTTCTTAATACTAGGTGAGGCTTTGCCTCCCCTGACCGCACGTCTCAGTGCTGTACAACCATTCTTTATTTTCCTAAACATGTCTTTAGAAAATTCTATGATTTGGTAATATTCTGTATTTTATTTAAAAAGCACCTTTTGTTAATATAACACTTGCATTGAATTCTTTTCAGCATTAAGCCCAAGATGGCCCATGGTTCGCCATTTATCTGTTAGTCCTGGCTTGGTTATTAAATACGAGGAGCTGAAAGACTTGATGAAGAATGATGGAGTTGTTCTTATTGATGTTCGGGAACCCTGGGAAACGAAAGAATATGGAATTATTAAGGGATCAGTAAATATTCCATGTAAGTAATATGAACATTGAAATGGACGGGCCTACTTCCCATATGTTGAACTGATATTTAGTTTAGATCATTGTCAGTATTGCTTTCTGCTTTTTCTGCCCAGCTCCTTAATCACATTTGCAGGAGGGTAGAAAGTAAATAAGTCATTTGGATATAAAAAGGAGTCATTGTGGCTATTTTAAAAGGATTGAAAAGGGCAGTTTCCTAGACCGAGGACAGGCTGGCCATCATGCACGTTTTAGAAGCCGGGCATGGCCAGCAAAGTTGTAAATAAATTAATAAGGGGGGATTTATCAAAACTAGAGGGGACAGAATCTGGAGCAGCTGTCCATAGTAACCAGTTAAAGAAGAACTCCAGGAAGTTTTTGTTTTCATTATTTATTAACCCTTGCAGTTGGGGCTACCCCCACACTGCAAGGGTTAAGTGCTCGTTTGTGTCTAGGTGTTAACATAACAAAGATATACTCACCCAAAGCTCAGAGGCAGGCATCTGTCAGGGTGCTCCCTCCAGACTGTCCCCTTCTCCACAGCACTTTGAAATCTTCCTCAGTGTCTTCACGTCTATGCACAGTCTATATAGACGTGATGATTTACTGGACCATAGTCTGCTGCAGATGAGGGGGGAGAGACATTTCAGCGACCTATTTAAGAAGCCTGCACGGAGGTTTGGGTGAGTATATCCCGGTTTTCTTTCTTAACCTAGACACAAAGAGGCAGTTAACCTTTGCAGTGTGGGGGTAGCCCCACTGCAAAGGTTAATTTAAAAAAATTATTATTATTATACAGGATTTATATAGCGCCAATAGTTTGCACAGCGCTTTACAATATAAGGAAGACATTACAGTCACAATACAATTTAAGACAAGATGGTAAGGAGGGCCCTGCCCGTGAGGGCTTACAATCTAAAAGGGAGGGGCAAGTGATACATGAGGAGGTAGCTGCGCGGGGATGATTGTTTGAGAAAGTGATTGTTCAGTGGTTAGGTTGAGGTGGGATAGGCTTCCCTGAAGAGATGAGTCTTAAGGGATCGCCTAAAGGCAGTCAGTGTAGGAGATAGACGGACAGGTTGGGGTAGAGAGTTCCATAGAATGGGAGACACTCTAGTGAAGTCCTGGAGGCGAGCATGGGAGGAGTTGATGATGGAGCTGGAAAGCAGGAGGTCTTGTGAAGAGCGGAGGGGAAAGAGGGGAGGGAAAGATTCCAGTAGAGAGGGAGAGATTGAAAATGTGGGTAAGAGAGTGTAGGATAGAGTATGAAGGTGACCGAAGTAGTGGTGAGGGAACAGGGTCCAGGGGGCAAGTGGTGAGGTGGGTGTCAGAGAGAAGCTTTGTAACCTCCTCTGTGGTGACCGGGTCAAAAGAGGAGAGTGACAAGTGTGATGGTGGGTCTGGTACATGAATAGGGGAAGGGGGCTGCACAGTGGCGATCTGATCCTGAATTGTATCTATTTTGTTTTTGAAATGAGTGGCAATGTCCTGGGCAGTCAGCGAGTTATTGGGTGGTGGCGGTGGGGGACATAGTAGAGAGTTAAAAGTGGAAAAGAGTTGACGAGGTTTAGATGAGAGTGTGTTAATGAGAGTAACAAAATAAGTCTGTTTGGCAGCACGGAGGAAGGAATTATATTTTAGGAGGGCAGCTTTGTACAGGGTGAAGTCTCTGGAGTTCTGCTTTTAAGCTTTGAAAATGAAAGAGAGAAGCATGGTCGCCATGCACAGCTGCTCCAGATTCTTTCTGCTCCAGTTTTGATAAATCACCCTCATAGCCCCCACCATTATCCATTCAGTAGAGTTTTCCTGCAACAAAATGTCTCCAAAAAGGCTTGGTGTGGTTCTCTATATTACCTGGTGCGGTTTTCTGTATAGGGCAGGCAGTTTAGACTTCATAAGTTCAAGTTATTAAGCAAAGGCATTCACCATGCATTGTACACACTTGGGTCATTCCCAACATCTCTCTAAAGGTGCCTATACACTGTACGATTATCGTATGAGAATCGCTGGAAATCCCGCGATCGCACGATAATTGCAAAGTGTATGGAAGGCATGCGACCGTTTCTACTGTACGGTCGCACGTCTTCTGCCGAACATGCAGGCTGGAAAACCTGCCGCGAATCGTACGATTCTCGGCGAGTTAGTGTCCTTGTGAGGGTTGTAAAGTGTATGGCCACCTTAAGATGCGTGAATGGTTTGGGTGTCGGGGAAAATGTACATCATCGGTAGCCACCAATGGCCGTAAAGGACTTCCGAGAACCTGGAAGTGTTGGCAACAAAGATTGATCCAACAGCGCTGGAGAAGGGCACACTTGTATGCTGTGCATAATGTACTTGCATATTGGAGCAAAACCAAAAAAACTACAATGTGGGTTACGTCTGCTTTAAATGCTATACTTGGAACTAAAAATAAGCAATACTACAATCAATCAGTTATTCGGTTTGTATCAAATATACAGTATTTACAGGAGAACCACAAATGCGGCCCGTGACATGACCAAAGGGCCTCATATAATATTCAGTGAATGTAATGCTACAGAAAGCTGTCAAACTACGGACATGCATCCGGAGATTGTCAAAGACTATGCTAAAACTGTCCTTTTTATGTTGCATGATCAGCTTTCATTCCAGGTACAGTATATTGTTATAGTGCCATTGAGAATTTATGTATTAAAAAAAATCTTAGTTGAGCCTTTTTTTTTTCTTCCACATATTTATTTTCCTAATATTTTGTTATTTAGTGGGTGATCTACAAGCTGCACTACAACTGTCCCCCAAGGAATTTGAAGCAAAATATCATGTAAAGCTTCCCGAAAAATCCAACACTGTAGTGTTCTCTTGCCTGGCTGGGATTCGAAGTGGTAGAGCTTTGGAAGTAGCGACGTCACTGGGTTACAGTCGGTAAGCAGATCAGTGGTTTTAAAATTTAATTGGAACTCTTGGCTCTGCAATTTTAAATTGAGCATGTGCCCAAATTATGCACACTAAACTACGGTATTTGAATATTCTCAACCAGCAGTAGAAGAACTTTAAAACAAGCTCCCATTCATCTCCTGTATCTATAGACATTGTGAAGAAATTCATTTTAAAAGTTCACAACACAGGTACTGTGTTTTTTTTACTATAAGAAGACCTTTTCATGCTGCCAGCCCTCTAATGTAAACAATATGTAAGTGTTTCTAAGCTGTTAGAAACTGACAAACTCAACATTACAGCCTCTGTTGTGATCTTTGAGAATTAATAACAGTAAAACCAGCAAGACAGGTGACTTGTTTTAGAGAAGCATCAAACTCTCAAACATGTTTTCAATAATGCATCCAGAATCAAATATAAATTGCCCAGCAAATCCTGTGCATACATTTTTGCCCGACCAGTTAGTCATTGAGGGGGATTTTCAAAACTGGAGCAGCTTTCCAGGGCAACCAGCTTCTTGCTTTCATTTTCAAATCTTAAGTCAAGAAACTGAAGAGAGAAACTGGAGCAGTTGCCATAGGCAACTGCTCCAGTTTCCATAAATCCCCCCCCCATTATGTTTTTTTAACAGCTGCCTCCAACCCTCTCAGGTCTAATTTCCTAAACTTCCTGTCCAGTACAAGATCACATGGGACAGCACAGTCTCCAGCAACCCTCCATTTGCCAGCTTGGAGAATGGAGGAAGGAGTCGTTTGCCTTGCTATTGAGTACGAAGACGGTTTACATTTTTCGGTACTTGCCGATACCAAGTACCGGTGCCGTGTGCCCAGATTATTAGGAAGTCGGGCGGCGGATCATTATCTGCCACCCAGCTTCCTAGCGAAAGAACACTGGCTTCACATGCCAAGGCTTCCTGATTGATCAGGAAGCCAGGCTGCCTAGCAACAGGTGAAGCTGGCTTCCTAGTCAATCAGGAAGCCAGGTAGCATGTCGTGACCCGCCTCCCTGATTGGCTAGGAAGACGGTGTCACTTGTTGATAGGTAGCGTGGCTTCCTGACCAATCAGAAAGCCAGGACGCGCGTCATGACATGCGCCAGGCTTTAATTGGTTAGAAAGCCAGGCTGCCTAACAACCAGTGAAGCTGGCTTCCTAGCCAATCGAGGAGGCGAGTCATAACCCACCACCCGGCTTCCTGATTTGAAAGGAAGTCAGCTCTACGCTCCCTCGGCACTTGCGTTCAGAGGGAGAAGTTCCGATGTCAGAGGTAAGTATCGGAGCATTTGGGAAGGTACTGATTCAGAAGCTCGTAGCTTGTCAGCAAGCAGCTGTCCAGACCTAGATCTGCCCACTGCTTTTTGGTTTGACATCCCTGCCTAAGTTGCTAAAATCCACTATGAGCTGCAATGTCTGGGAGGGGGATTGTGTGAAAACACAAACGCAGGAGAATTTACCTCAGAAGGTGAAGGAAGTTTTTAGTTTACTTTATTAGACTTGTGCAGTAACTGGATGTGGGACTTGTTTAGACTGTCATACAGTAGTCTTTAGTTGTACTTTAAATCAAGGTCCAATCGAAATTGTGTTGCAAGTATGCCTTTTGTAAAAATAATACTATGCTAGTAAGCAAATTAAAATGTTAAGCATACTTCAAACTCTAAATTTTATGTAATGTGTTTTTTGTTTTTTTTTTAAACTAACGTGTAATGTCTCTTCTCTTTAGGATCCATCATTATTCAGGAGGCTTTGAGGAATGGGCTAGGCATGAAGTGACAGAAAAACCACAATGAGCCAGAGCTTAATAGAGCATTCACTATAATAACTACTTAAGATACACAATCTTCATACTATTAGTGTCACAGAGAGCATATTGCATTTTGGTTTTGTTTGGATATGTGTAGCAAAAGATATATGATTGTAAGTTCTAAATGCTCTTCCACTATAACACTGGTTTGTGCCTCAGAATGACCAAAGAGCATATTTCATTGATGGTTTGTTATATGCCCTTAATGAAAGCATGCTTCTTGTGACTTTCATGGTGAGGGGTGATTTTTATGTATTCCTTGTATAGCATTACCATATTCCTCTCAATATAGTTTTTTGTTTGTTTTTAGAAAGCATAAAGGTATCCTTTTTTATGCTGCCCGTGCTTTGCCAGTGAGCAGTTTCCAGCTATGTTATCAGTCAGTGTACTCCTTATAAAAACACAAATGTGTCTTCTCAACAACTTGTGAAAAAGAAGGATGAAAGTTCTTTCAGGATTCAGGTTTCTCTGCTATCGCTAAACAAGTTGAGGTTGGGTGAGCAAATTTAGTTGTGATTTCTGCTTCAACTTTCCTCCTTCTGCTTCCAAGAGCTTGCACAGTTCTTAAAAAAACATGTGTGTTGCAAAGTTTCACTTACAGAGCATTAACTGATCAGTGCAAGTGTTTTTTTCCCCCTAGTAGTTCAGAACATCTCATCTCATACCTAAGCAGTGAGGTTAGGCCTCATTTACATGGGTTCCTTCAGTTCTGTAAGCAGTTCGGAACGGATGTCGCTGTTGTGACTTCGTGTGTCCAGCCAGTTTTTTTCTTCAATCTTGCAATAGAGTACAAAAACTGAACTTACTAGACCCATGTAGAATCTATGGAGAGTCAGACGTAAACGGACATGTCTGTTTTACATCATATTTTCCACTATCAGGTCCGGCAAAATGGAACTCTGTGCAAGTTGTTTCTCTGTACCTGGCCAGAGTCTGGGCTAATCGGATGTAAACAGACACCATGTGGTAGTTTTGGTCTTTTTTGTATGGTGTAAAAACATATGGGTATGTTTGGTTAACAAACTGAGAAATCCAATCACCTGTCCGACTAAGGCTGGGCACACACCTTACAACCATCGCAAGACTTTTGTCTTGCGATGGATGTAAGGTACTTAAAAAAATGTACGATCTGCCTATCTTGGACAGGCAGATCGTACTTGCGATGATCGCAGGCCGCACCCCCCTGAGGGGCGGCCTTTCCGATGACCGCAATGCCGAACGGGCAGTGTGCGCTTGCGCACACCGGCCCGTCCTGCTTTTATCTTACGAACATGCTACACACCCGCCGAACATCGTACGATGCTCAGCGGGTTTTCGAACATGTTCGTAAGTTTAAAGTCGTGCGACCTTTCCAGTAGTAGAGGTCGCACGGCTTCCACACACCTTACGATAAATCGTACGACGCGGGATTTCCCACGATTATTGCAAGGTGTGTGGCGACCTTTTATAAATGTTGCAGAGCGTGAATGCGAATGGAAGTGCCCTGCAGATCTTCTCTGGTAATTGTTAGATTGCTGTGATTTCTGCTGTAGATCGTGAACGCAAACAATATAATACCCAATTTTTTTTTAAAGTTCCCTTGTGTAAATAGATAGCATCATGTCAAGCCTCACAGTTGCATGTACTTGGGAAATGTTGAAAAACTGTCCATAAATATAGTTTTAAAAGCCTGTACAGCTCATCAATATAGAGATAAAAAGAGAACTATGGGGTAAGTGTTTTTCCCCCATAGCTCTCTTTAGGGTCATGGGAGGACATATACTACCGTCCTTCCATGACCCAAAGCTCAGTATATAGCAGGCTATTGCGCCACAGCCGGGATGAATCCCGGCAATACTGGTGCGATTCCCCCCAGCTACATGAGTGACAGCTGGCACTGCATATCTAGAGGCAGAGCCAGCTGTGCCCGCCCCCTTTCGCATGTGTTCCCCCACTCAGCAGAGGGGAGGTGGGAATCCCTGCAGGGAGTTGTGACTGTAAAGTTCACTCCAACTCCCTCCAAAACCAAATATCTTTTCTGAATGAAATGCAATTGCCAAAATTAGAGCAGTTCCCCAAAACAACCAATCAGCTTCTCTCAGTTTGTTCGGTTAAGCTGTGAAAATGAAAGAGAGCAGCTGATTGGTTGCAATGGGTAAACGCGCCAGATTTTGTGTGCTCCAGTTCCGATAAATTCTCCCAAGTCTTTTTATTTTATTTGTAGGTTTTTGACTATGACTGATTTTGTAATTATAGGTCTACCTCGAACAGCTGGCAGTAGCTGTGATTTTATGGCAGCGGGAACGTCTTGATGCACCTTGTGTTCTTTGGCTTGCATTGTGTCTCTCTGGCATGATGCCATTGTGATATCTTTGTACTGTACATAGTCTCAATAAAACCTTTTATCGTGAAATTAAAAAAAATTTGAAAAGGCAAAAGTTTCTAGACCATCTCTGTGCTTTTTATATTCACATAAGCTTTTCATCCTTTAGAACTGTCTTTTAAATCAGAATGTTAGCCTGGGTACCACATTAAACATGTGCTAGTGAAATTTTTAAATTCAGAATTGCCAACTGCAAAAAGTGCAACAAAAAGCATCATGTAGTCAATAACTATAGCATCACTTGGAAGAAAATCTTACTGCCTGACAGAACAAAAGGACATGAAGAATCCCTAATGTGACATTGCCAATATTTACACTAATGTAAAAAACAAGCAAGAGAAGAACCCCAAGGATGACTTAAGTCAGAAGAATCTCAAAAGGAGTGCAACAGTAGTTGCTGAACCCACCTAAAGAATCAGAGCTTGATCCCACAGAGCCAGCATGACCAGAATAGGGACATAGGAAATTCCAATACAAAAGATAGAGAGGGAATGGAAAATAGAGTTCCCCCAGCCTAAGCTAACCAGAAGAACTGCAGACCTGCTAGAGCTGAGAACCAAGCCCAACATACATCTATAAGCAAGGAGGAGGCACCCGTGAGACGGAACCCTAAGGGAAAAACATTCCGAAATATCCTGCCTACAGCGAAGCCTCAAAAAGTCACAATGTTAGAGATGCTCCTAATCCCATGAAGTCATGGAGCATTCCCCACTACTGCCAGAGATTCCTGCATCAGGAAACTAGCTTTTTACAGGGGAAGCTTTCCTCCGATGTCTTGCACCAGCAACACAGGGTTAGAAATGCACCTGGATGTCTGGACCTCTCCTCCATAGCTACTAGTACTAGTTAGTAGCAACTGGCCTTCCAAAGACCATATTTGAAGTGACTACAGCAGACAGGACTGGAACATGTTGCTTCCAAATCAGGATCCAAACTACCTTTCTTGGCAAAGCAAGACCTCCTGTTGCTCTTCAATAATAGAGGCATGCCAGCAACAAGACACTGTCCAACAATATCCCCATCAGGAATTATTCTGTTATTTTAGTGAGAAATACCTGTTCTGCAACTCCAGAAGGCAGACCATAATATACAGGTTCTCCAATTACAGGGCCTTCTAGAAGTGTAAACAACAATCCCAGGAGGAGAGGATGGCCCATCAACACGATTCCTGCAACAGCTGAGAGATGGGCAACTCTCTGGGGAAAAAGACATAAGAGCAAGGAATCTGTAGCTGCCCCTACTGCAGAATCAGTCTGGTTTGAGCTGCCTGCAGACTATGATGATTCTGACTCAAGGTGCAGGGGCAAGGCCAGATTGTTCGGAGCCCCCGTAGGACAGTGAAAAGTACACAAAAGGTAATGGAGTACCTCGGTAAAGGGACATGGATGGTAGATGTGATGGATACCATGTAAAACTGTTCAACATGGCTCAAAAGAGCAAAACAACTCAGAAAGAGAGAGTGAGTACCAAGGCAGGTTGGGATACAGCTCTTAAGACCAAATCAGTAAGGGACTAGGATCTTTATTTCTAGTAGAGGCGAAAGCAGGTCTGTTAGTTTCTGCAGTGACAGGGAGGTAAAAAGTAAGGGGGGGCTGAAGGCAACGCTGTTGATGACGGTTCATTCTGTAATCCTGAAAGGGTACTCTGCATCTAAATGCCTAAAGGGCAAGTACCTGAGGGCCCACAAGAATTAAGCATCCAACCACTTGGAAAAGTGGGTTGCGCACCTTCTTGCTAATAAAGGCTTCCCTAATTGTTTAGCAGGCTTCTTGCTCTCAACCTTGCAGTTGTCCAGTGAACCAGGCTTGAAAGACCTGGGCATGCCTACTACAGAAAGAGTTGAAGGAAAGGATGGGGATGAAGCCAACCAATCTCTTTATTTGTTACTCTTTAGGCAGGTGGATGCTCTGGCCTCCCCTCAAAGACCAGAGGGGTCAGGCGATGCAATGTCCATATCCCAGCACTTTAACCAGGGTGCTCTGTCCATTTGTATATACAACACATCCATAAAGGAGTTAATACGAGATGGTTTCAGCAGGCTATAACAGTTGAAGCGTAAAGTTCCAGAAATCTTCTCTACATGCTTGATCAGGTAAGGATCCACTGTCGCAGTGGAAAGTTCATTTTTGAAGAATTTAGATCATTCTGCCAGTTTGAAAAATTATGGTCACAGCTATAATAGGGTGAATGGTAGGGCCCACCAGTAAGAACTGGGTTTTAAAGACTCCTTTACCGGCCTAGCTGTTTTGCTGTTAAAGGTGGGTTACTGGCAGATAAACAGGAGCAGCAGAGGGAGGTGTTTCCTCAATGCTGAACAGAAAAGAAAGTGCAGTGCACAGTGGCGTAACAACCGGGGGTGCGGGGGGGTCACTTGCCCCGGGCGCAGGACTGAGGGGGGGCGCCGATGCACACATGCCGTTCCACCCAGTGGGTGACATCAGAGTTCAATCTCTATGTTAACCCCTTCAGCAATAGACTGGTGGACATCATACATTTATAAGATGTCCAACAAAATAAAAGATGACTTAGCTCCCACTGCTGTCTGGCCAGCCTATTCACAAGTCTTCAGAGACAGGGCAAGCACTGAGGCAATGTCAATGGCTCTGGACCTGTAAAGCACTCCACTGCTAACTTGTTACCAGAACAAGGTTTGGAAAGCACCTTATGTAGA